AAAAAAAAAAAAAATTGAGGCTCTGCAAAGAGAATTGATTTGTCCAAACTCAGCAAGTCAGATTAAGGGTAATGAATGGAACTTCTGTTACCTAATGGCTTCCAGGTTTGACTGGGATTAAGGAAAATGAAAATCATAACAATTTTAGGGTGAATAAAGAAGCATCCTGGCTGGGCATGGTGGCTCACACCTATAATACCAGTACTTTGGGAGGCCAAAGTGGGAAGATCACTTGAGGCCAGGAGTTCAAGACCAGCCTGGGAAACATAGTGAGACCCCATTTCTACAAAAAAAAAAAAATTTTTTTTAATTAGCCAAATGTGGTAGTGTGCACCTGTAGTCCTCGGTACTCTGGAGGCTGAGACAAGAAAATCACTTGAGTCCAGAGGTTCGAGGTTACAGGGAGCTATGAATACACCACTGTACCCTAGCCTACGTGACAGAATGAGACCCTGTCTCTAAAAATTTAAATTAAGGCCGGGCGCGGTGGCTCAAGCCTGTAATCCCAGCACTTTGGGAGGCCGAGGCGGGTGGATCACGAGGTCAAGAGATCGAGACCATCCTGGTCAACATGGTGAAACCCCGTCTCTACTAAAAATACAAAAAATTAGCTGGGCATGGTGGTGCGTGCCTGTAATCCCAGCTACTCAGGAGGCTGAGGCAGGAGAATTGCCTGAACCCAGGAGGCGGAGGTTGCGGTGAGCCGAGATCGCGCCATTGCACTCCAGCCTGGGTAACATGAGTGAAACTCCGTCTCAAAAAAAAAAAAAAAAAATTTAAATTAAAAAAAGAAGCATCCCCAACATCCTGAGTGTCTTGCTACCATATTGTACTTGCCATACCATACTGTCAACATCTGCTTATCCACACACAGCATGGCTTTCCCAGTAGGTGGTGTGAGAACCAGAAGAGGCAGAGAGCTGAGTTCAGTTGGAAGTCTCATTCAATTGGAAGGCTCATTCAGATGGAAGCCTCCAAGGGGATCATGTTAGGAGGGTGTGGCCAGGAGCTACTCAGACATCTGGAAGACAGGCAGAAAGCATCTCAGCAGGCAGCTGCTTGAGACAGATCTAAGCAGACAGGTCACTTGCACAGTGGCGCGTGCAGAATCGCATTTGTAAGATAAGCATCAATCAAATCTTTCCTCTATTTTGTGACAGTCATATAAAATGATAGAGCTGTCTCCATGGCAAGCAATACAGATGAAGGCCCAGGGACCATCTGGGAAGTCATCCCTGTCCCAGGCTGGGGGAAAGAAAGAAATGGCTCCTCAAAGTGTGGCTGTTAAAAACAAATAACCCTTTCAGTCTGATAGGCAGCAAAAGTAAGCACTTAAGGAAGAAGCCAACTTCAGCCAGGAAACATGGGGGAGGAGGAGGAGAGAGCCCTAAAATCCAGAGAGAAGAGATCAGCTCAATAAATGGAGTGAAGAAATAAATGAAAGAACTTCCCTTTTGCCCTTGTATTGGAAAGAACACGAGACTGAGTCCAAGAGACCTGGCATTTGAAAGACAAGCCCTGGCTCTTTCAGTGGTTCTGTAAACTTACGCAAATCACACTCTGAGCCTCAGTTTCCTCATCTGTAGGAGTTCATAAAATAGCTTCCTGGCAAAACTGTTGCAAGAATTAAAACCAGTATATGGGAAGGTGCTTTATAAACCCCTTATTTTTTGTTTTGTTGTTTTTTTTTTTTGTCTCGGTGCTTACTGGTTTCTTCTAGCAAGTCATCCTGAGTAGTGGAACTAGTTTGGGGTTCCAAATCAAACAAACTAGATTCAGTTACCAGCTCTATCATTCATTACCTATGAGACCTTGGCAAGAAATTTTACATGATTAAGAAAGTTTCCTCATTCATAAAACAAGCATTGTTGGGAAAATTATAGGTAATGTGGGCAATACATCTAGAATAGTACAGTAATTTATTGGTATAGGCAAGGGATTGGTTCCAGGACTCCCACATATACAGAAATCCACGTCTACTCAAGAACCACAGTTGGCCCAGTGGAACCCACCTAGACTAAAAGTTGGCCCTCTGAATATACAGACTTCACCTCCCTTCGCTACTGTATTTTCTTTTCTTTTTCTTCTTTTTTAAGAGATGGATGTCACTCTGTCTCCCAAGATGGAGTACAGTGGCCTGATCATAACTCATTGTAGATTCAAATTCCTGGGCTCAAGCAATTATTCTACCTCAGCCTCCCAAGTAGCTGGGATTACAGGTTCGAGCCACTGTGCTTGACCCAGCAAGGTATTTTTTTCTTAATTTTTTTTTTTTTTTTTTTTTTAGAGATGGGGGTCTTGCTATGTTGCCCAGGCTGGAGTGCAGTGGCTATTCACAGGCGCAATCCCACTACTGATCAGCATTGGAATTTTGACCTGCTCCATTTCTGATCTGGGCTGGTTCACCCCTCCTTAGGCAACCTGGTGGTCCCCCGCTCCTGGGAGGTCACCACATTGATGCCGAACTTAGTGTGGACACCTGATCGGCATAGCACACTACAGCCCAGAATTCAGTGGGCTCAAGTGATCCTCCCACCTCAGCCTCCCAAATAGCTGGGACTACAGGCATGTGCCAACATGCCCGGCCACCATGGTATTTTTTAATCAGTGTTTGGTTGAAAAAAAATTGGGAAGATCAAGTTCACAAACGTTCTGCAGGAAGAAAAAAATAAAATAAGAAAAAAATTGGGATATAAGTGGACCTGCACAGTTCAAACCCATGCTGTTCAAAGGTCAACTGTATATGCAATAGAGCAGGAGCTCAATAAATGTAATTCTCTGTCTTCCTACTTGGAGCATTTCAGCAAGGATAAGGAGAAAGTTGGGCAAATGTGGACCTCACCTTCCTACCTAAAGCCATACTCTACTTTTCTAATTCAATCTGTCTTAAGACCATTCCCCACTGCTGACCCATCACCACCTTCACTGTTTTCCCAGGTCTCTTAGAGCTACAGAAACAGTATCATAATAGCTACCATTTATTGAGCACCTACTAAATGTCAAGCATTCTACATGGTGCTTTCAATGCATTCCATCTTGCACACAACAGATGCTTGATATTCATTTCCTTCCTCCTCCAGATTTGAATGAGATAGCCGTGGGTGTGTCCACTGACAGAACGGGGGCACACCTGCAGAATAACATCAATGGGCTCTCTCTTTGTACAGTGTTTTACCGTTTACAAAGTTCTTTTCACCCACATTATCCTATTTGATTCTCACAACAACTCTTGGGAGTGGATGAAGAAATTGAGGCAGGAACACCACCATAGCTCAATTATTCATTAAATCAACATTCACCAAGCACCTACTATGCACCAGACCCTGTGCTATACTTTGGGGAGATGGAGAGAAACCCTAAGGACTTCAAGCTTAGAGGGGAAACCCATTTAAAGATTTTCTATAGGTTACTGATGCCTCCCTTCATGTCATAATCTTTAAGAAACTGAAGGTTTATTTCTTGGGCTGGAGATGCTTTTAGATTTTTGCCTTTTCCCATACGGTTTCCTCTGATAGGAACACACTTTCCTCCACTACTAGCTAAATCCTTCATGACCAGGAAGCCTTCCCAGACCCACCCACCTCTCCCACAATGCCTCTTCTCTGGCTCCCACAGCATCAGGGTTTTCCACTTCTATAGATAGGGCCTTTTATGGCTTCCATTGTCTTCCTCTGTTTATAGGAACAGAACAGGTGGGCACCCACCTGTGCCCCCGCCCACACACACACACACCCTCTCCTTTTACTGTCTCCCACCCCTTTCCCTCTGGATTCCAGGAAGCTGAGGGAAGAGGGCCCATTTTTCTCCCACCCCCTCCACGTCTCTCTCAGCTTCCAGAGGCTGCTGCCCTGCCCTCCCCAAAGTTCCTTCCATGCTTGGACTCCAGAACAGAGTTGGCCTGTGGATGAGTTTTTCTGTCCAAAATTCTTTTCTTCTCTGTGATCCCGGGTGCCAATGTAACAAGGTCCAGTGCCTGTGTCCCCTTGTCAGACTCCTAAGTGGCCAAGACACCGCTAGTGCCTGGGCTCCACTCAAGCCTCCATTATCTTTCCACCCTTACACCACAACCCACACCTGGCCTCTTCCCTAGCCTGACCCAGTGCCCCTCCACCCTGAACTCTTCAAGTTCTCTCACGATTCCTCCACTTGCAGTCACCAGACCCTACTCTAGTCCAGTCTCCTCCCCAGTCCTGACCAGAAAATAGGCCCCTGTGTCCATTTCCAAAGCCACTGTCCTCTTTCTCCACCGGCTCACCGCCCCCTTCCTCTGCAGCCGGGTAGACCCAGCCTGGCCTCTCACTCTTTTATTCTCCCAAGCCCCACCCCTCGCCCTCCATTTACGGTTACCCCGTCGTCGGACCCCTGGGCTCCAGCTCCGACCCCAGCTATCTATACCCACATCCCCCATAAATGACCCTCTACCGACCAGACACTCCCCAGCTGCCCAGCGCCCCTTCTATTCGGCACCTCAGTTCCCACCAGCTCCAAACGACCCCCGCAGAGCCAGTCCCCTCCCCTCAGCTCCTCACCTCCACGCCTCCCCAACACCCCACCACTCCCCCCCCGCTCTAGCTCCCCTCAATCCTCTCCCTTCATCGCCCCCTTTGCTGCCCCTCGGCTGCTCGGTACCCCCTTTCCGCACAGCCCCTCTACGCCCTCCTCGCAGCTCCCACGCCTCCGTTTCCCCCCGCGATCCCTCACTGCCCTCCAGTGGCTCCTCATCTTTCCCCTCAGCCCCAGCGCGGTCTTTCTCGCTCCCCTCCCGCCCTTGGAGCTTCTCCAGCTGCCCCCACGGTCCGGGAGACCCCCTCGGCTCTCCCTCCCGAGGCGAGCCTCCACCTCAGCCGCCGCGGAGCCCCTCCCTCGCGCCTCCCCCAGCTCCCCTCCGCTGCCCCGCGCTCCTTCTCAGCGCCCGCTCTCGGTGCCCGGTGCCCAGCGCCCAGCGCCGATAATCGGTCCCTTTCCCTCCGCGGGCTGGCTGCCGGGGCCGCGCCCCTTACCGCGGACTCCGAGTGCGGGACGACGGGTTCGCCCTCGGACGGTCGGCCGGACGGCAGGATCTGACGGCCGGGAGGGCGCGGGGGGGACCTGGGCAGGGCGCCGCGGGGGGCTGCGGGCAGGTCGGGTCCAGTCCGCACAGTGGCGCCTGAGGGCTGAGGCTGGGGCTCCAGAGCTGCTCGGCTCCGGCCGCATCCAGGCCCCGCCTAGGGGCGGAGTCTGCGTTGGCCCCGCCCTGGCCCTCAACTCCTAGCAGGTGTAAGGAATCCGAGGTGACTCAGGACCCCCAGATCCCTCATATCTAGCTGATTATACTGATTTATCTTAATTGTCATGCCTCGTTCCATTGACTGAACTTACTAGGGTGATCAGAGAGCTTTGATTATAATGTAGCTGATGATGGGTAGCAGTTTTGCCATTTCCACACTGCTTTCTGGTCCGTTCTATCATTCTACCTTCACAAAAGCCCAGGGAGGGAGGCTGACTACAAGCGGAAACGAAGCCAGAAACCTGGACGCTGTCTTCTACCGTATCTGTGCTTCCTTCACACCCCACATCCCACCACCTTAACATATCCCTGCCCTTCCGTGTCTCCATTGCCCTTATTCTAACTCCAGCATCATCACTTCTTGCTTGTACTAATACAACAGCTTCCTAATTCCTGCCTTCAATCTCTAATTCATCCTATAAAACCAGGAGGTGGGTTAGCATGGCTATTTCCACCCTTGCACAAAAATTCTTTCTCCTGGGCTCTCCAGTCATACCACCCACCACCCCTCCTCATTACTGACACCCAGTTGCTACTTACACATTAAAGATTACAGCCCCTGGCTCATGGTCATTCTCACTAGCCTCTGTCCTGCCATCCTCCTGGTGCTTCAATAGCTATGGGATTTCCTGGGCCCATTCATTCTGAGTGAGATACCAAAACCATTTTTATACAAACCCAAGCAACTCTTTCAAATGTCATCATGGCTCCGTGCAGTGGCTCATGCCTATAATCCCAGCACTTTGGGAGGCCGAGGCAGGCGAGGCAGGTGGATCACTAGATCAGGAGTTCATGACCAGGCTGACCAACATAGTGAAACCCCGTCTCTACTGAAAATACAAAAGAAAATAGCTGGGTGTGGTGGCATGTGCCTGTAATCCCAGCTACTCAGAAGGCTGAGGCAGGAGAATCACTTGCACCCAGGAGGTGGAGGTGGCAGTGAGCCAAGATCACGCCACTGCACTCCAGGCTGGGTGACAGAGTGAGACTCTGCCTCAAAATAAATAAATAAATAAAAATAAAAAATAAATAAAATGTCATCATGTTATCATCAACCTTGTTTTAAAAAACTCTCAGCTGGGTGCAGTGGCTCACACCTGTAATCTCAGCACTTTGGGAGGCCAAGGCAGGCAGATCGCTTGAGGTCAGGAGTTCGAGACCAACCTGGCCAACATGGTGAAACCCTGTCTCTACTAAAAATACAAAAGTTAGCCAGGCATGGTAGCGCATGCCTGTAGTCTCGGCTACTCAGGAGGCTGAGGCAGAATTGCTTGAACCCGGGAGGCAGAGGTTGCAGTGAGCTGAGATCACTGCACTCCAGCAGTGCACTCCAGCCTGGCCAACAGAGCAAGACTCTGTCTCAAAAAAAAGCAAACAAACAAAAACTCTCAACCATTTCCCATTACCAGGAGGCTATCAACAGGAGTGGGAAAATGTTCTTGCGTGGCCCTAGGAAGTCCCAGTTCTACCAGAGAAGGCAGATACAGGAGGCAGTTAACACCCACCCTCAAATCCTGACATGGACTTCCAGTCTTCCTGAGGTCACAGGCGCCAGCTGACAGCTTGATCTAGAATAATTATCTTTCCCCACAATTCTCCCCTATCTCAAATCTTAGAGGTCTGAGTCAAATACCAAAACCATTTTTCCCCCCAAGTTCCATTATGACCCGGTCTACAGTGTGCATCTCCAGCCTAGGAACCACCCAAACTGACAGCCCCTCTGCTTACGTGGCCTCTGCCTCATACACTTACTCTTCTGAGCTTCTTGCCCAGCCCTTTCGCTCACTTTCCCACTTCCCACCACACTGTCAGGCCTTTCCTCTGTGCCTTCTAGAATCCTTTTCTTTTGTCAACAAACTCTCCTATATCCCCTGCTTCTTCAGAGTACTCAGGTGACTTCTTTGCCTGAGCCTCCTCCAGGTACTGCCTCATTTGAAGCCCTCTTATTCCTCCACTCCCTGTATACTATAAAACCAGGATGTGGGGTTGGCATGGCCATTTTGACCCTTGTACAAAAATTCTTTCTCCTGTGCTCTTCAGCCATACCACCCTCCACCCCTCCTCATCACTGACCCCCAATTGCTCCTTATGCATTAAAGATTGAGCCCCTGCTCATGGTCATCCTCACTAGACCCTGTCCTGCCATCCTCCTAGTGACTTCAGTAGCTATGGGATTTCCTGGTCCCTCAGTTCTTGGCCTCCACATCACCTTGGCCACCAGCTCCCATGATCACTCTTGAGCTCTTAATCACCCACTGCTGGTACCCCTGTAACAGCAAAATCAAACATGCTGAGAATGAGAAGGAAGGAGAGAAAATGGCATCCATGGATTACAGAACCTATAGCCAAGCTGCAGCGCAGCAGGGCTACAGTGCTTACACCGCCCAGCCCACTCAAGGATATGCACAGACCACCCAGGCATATGGGCAACCAAGCTATGGAATCTATGGACAGCCCACTGATGTTAGCTATCCCCGGGCTCAGACCGCTGCAACTTACAGGCAGACCGCCTATGCAACTTCTTATGGACAGCCTCCCACTGGTTATACTACTCCAACTGCCCCCCAGGCATACAGCCAGCCTGTCCAGGGGTATGGCACTGGTGCTTATGATACCACCACTGCCACAGTCACCACCACTCAGGCCTCCTACACAGCTCAGTCTGCATATGGCACTCAGCCTGCTTATCCAGCCTATGGGCAGCAGCCAACAGCCACTGCACCTACAAGACTGCAGGATGGTAACAAGCCCACTGAGACTAGTCAACCTCAATCTAGCACAGGAGGTTACAACCAGCCCAGCCTAGGATATGGACAGAGTAACTACAGTTATCCCCAGGTACCTGGGAGCTACCCTATGTAGCCAGTCACCGCACCTCCATCCTACCCTCCTACCAGCTATTCCTCTACACAGCCGACTAGTTATGATCAAAGCAGTTACTCCCAGCAGAACACCTATGGGCAACCGAGCAGCTATGGACAGCAGAGTAGCTATGGTCAACAAAGCAGCTATGGGCAGCAGCCTCCCACTAGTTACCCACCCCAAACTGGATCCTACAGCCAGGGTCCAGGTCAATACAGCCAACAGAGCAGCAGCTATGGGCAGCAGAGTTCATTCCGACAGGACCACCCCAGTAGCATGGGTGTTTATGGGCAGGAGTCTGGAGGATTTTCCGGATCAGGAGAGAATAGGAGCATGAGTGGCCTGATAACCGGGACAGAGGGAGAGGGGGATTTGATCGTGGAGGCATAAGCAGAGGTGGGTGGGGAGGAGGACACGGTGGAATGGGCAGCGCTGGAGAGTGAGGTGGCTTCAATAAGCCTGGCAGACCCATGGACAAAGGACCAAATCTAGGCCCACCTGTAGATCCAGATGAAGATTCTGACAACAGTGCAATTTATGTACAAGGATTAAATGATAATGTGACTCTAGATTATCTGGCAGACTTCTTTAAGCAGTGTGGGGTTGTTAAGATGAACAAGAGAACTGGGCAACCCATGATCCACATCTACCCGGACAAGGAAACAGGAAAGCCCAAAGGCGATGCCACAGTGTCCTATGAAGACCCACCTACTGCCAAGGCTGCCGTGGAGTGGTTTGACAGTAAAGACTTTCAAGGGAGCAAACTTAAAGTCTCTCTTGCTCAGAAGAAGCCTCCAATTAACAGTATGCAGGGTGGTATGCCACCCTGTGAGGGCAGAGGGATGCCACCACCACTCCTTGGAGGTCCAGGAGGCCCAGGAGGTCCTGGGGGACCCATGGTTCGCATGGGAGACCGTGGAGGAGATAGAGGAGGCTTCCCTCCCAGAGGACCTCACGGTTCCCAAGGGAACCCCTCCGGAGGAGGAAACATCCAGCACTGAGCTGGAGACTGGCAGTGTCCCAATCCGGGTTGTGGAAACCAGAACTTCACCTGGAGAACAGAGTGTAACCACTGAAAGGCCCCAAAGCCTGAAGGCTTCCTCCCACCACCCTTCCTGCCCCTGGGTGGTGATCGTGGCAGAGGTGGCCCTGGTGGCATTTGGGGAGGAAGAGGTGGCCTCATGGATTGCAGTGGTCCCGGTGGAATGTTCAGAGGTGGCTGTGGTGGAGACAGAGGTGGCTTCCGTGGTGGCCGGGGCATGGACCAAGGTGGCTTTGGTGGAGGAAGATGAGGTGGCCCTGAGGGGCCCCCTGGACCTTTGATGGAACAGATGGGAGGAAGAAGAGGAGGACATGGAGGACCTGGAAAAATGGATAAAGGCTAGCACCGTCAGGAGCACAGAGATCGGCCCTATTAGATGCAGAGACCCTGCAGAGCTGCACTGACGACCAGATTTATTTTTTAAACCAGAAAATGTTTTAAATTTATAATTCCATATTTATAATGTTGGCCACAACATTATGATTATTCCTTGTCTGTACGTTAGTATTTTTCACCATTTATGAAGAAACATTAAAACGAGTTAAATGGAAAAAAAACAAACAAACATGCTATGCTGAACTCCTCCCTCACTCCCTTTCCCCCACAAGGCCCTAGTTTCCTCATTTCAAAATAGATGAGATGATAATGATTATTCTTTCTTCCCAGGAATAATGAGTTAGCGTATAGAGCCACCCTTTTAAAGTTGTGAGACAATATAAGAACAGATGGTATTGCTTTTATGTAGCCTCAGTTCTTCTGGTTGCTTTCTCCTTCTCCCTCCCCTGAAAGGCAGTGTAGTAAATTAGAAAGGGCACACACGGGCTAGGGGCCAGGCACAGCTGACCTGCAGTCCTTGCTTGCTGTGTGGTCTTATGCCAATTACCTCATTTCTCTCGCACGCACATCCCTTCCTCGTTTGTAGAAAGAGCAATAATGAGAGCTCCTTCTCAGAGTTGTTGGGAAGATCAAATGAGAACACAAGCTACTGGAGAGCACTTGATAGAGTCCTAGGCACAGGGTAAGCATTCAATAAATAGGAAACACTGTGG